TCAAGCAGCATTCAAAATGTTGCATATTTTAATATTCCCATTCAATTCGAACAAAACAAATAATATTTTAAATACATTTGTTTCGAATACGGAAATCAACAATAAAATACTACTAAAGTTTATTAAAGTTTGTAATAAACTGGAAAGGGTATTAAACGGGAATCACATCTAATTTTCCGTTTTTAGCTTGGGATGCCGAATACTCAAGCCACAAGGTAATTTTAAGGCTTATAAAATGAATAATAGATAGATTATAATATCGACTTGGAATTTTTTTATTACTTTTTAAGGTCGATGAGGTTTTCCCTATCTAGCTCAATCCTAAATACATGCTATATATATGTAAACTATTATCAAGATATTTTGCATGGAAGCAAATTGTTAGAAAGATAGAGGCGGTTATATCTAACTTAGATTTTATAAGTTATCTATAAAGTCGATGATCTTTCCTTATCTAATTAAATCCTAAATACATGCCAATCTTCGATCTCAGATATATGTAAGCCATTATATATTAATGAGAGCAAATAGAGTATTTAAATAAGTAATAATATAATTTACATTTGTAAATGAATAATGTTAAAGTTATTTACGTAAACTACAAGCCGAACTCGGAAAGCATGGACATATATCAGGCCTACGCACAACCTCTCGAGAACTATTAATGTCTGTGGCCAAAACACACACAACAAAAGGCCACGTTAACAGTTTTGACAGTTTTCAATTTGGCTAGCAGACAAATTAAAAATGGTTCGAGAACGACAACGACGACAAAACGTCGCCAGCTGCGGCTTCAAAAGCCAACGAAACACGCGAAAATAACAATTGATGGGGCCTAGAAGGTGGCAGGGGTCGAAGGGGGGGAATGGTGGGTGGTAGGCAGGGCAGACAAGCAGAACCTGCTCACTGGTAAAACCATATAACGAATATTTGTCAATTTTGTCGTTGTTAGCTGCCCAAAACAGTGTCTGGCCCGGCTCTGGGGTCGACTTCGTGGGAGACTCTTTGACTCGTGGTTCGAGGGTCTCGGACCCGTCTGTGCCGCCAACAGACGCTGAAGCCCAACCAATTCGTGCGTTTTGTTCGGCTGCCATTGAAGTAGTTTTGGCTGCTGATTAGAATCGCACACGCACACAACACGCACACATATGGCACACACACACACACACACACACACACTGGGGAGTACCCGGAATGTTTTGTGCGAGGTGCACATCGTAAACATAAAAGTGAAACGGCAAAAGTAGTGACAGCGACACATAAATACGTTTACATATACTACCAACGAATGCTCGCTTTTTATTATTATTTAATATTTCTGGCATTTTATGAAATTTTAGTTAAACACGCACACACACATGGACATGGAGCAGCGCCAATTGGGATGTTTTTTGCGTACAGCTGCGACGTCTTTCATTTGTTTTCACTCATGTCTCCAGGTCCCCATGACATTATCGGGCACGCATGTGTCAACTGCCGACGCCAGTGTCGCTGCTGACGACAAACAGGACGAGGACGAGGACGGGAACGAAAGACGAGGACGAGGACGAAGGAAGAGGACGGCGACGGGGACGGCGACGACGTCAGCGACATTCACAAATATACAAAAAGGTATAATAATAAAAACCAATAAAAATGACAAATAAAAAGATTTATGTTATTTATATAAATGTTTGTGTGTGTGCCGGCTTGTGTGTATGTGTGTGTGTGTGTGTGTGTAGCAACCATTCTTTTCTCTACTTTAATAACGTTTTTTGTACATTTCAAGCAAACACTTATGCATATTCCTGCGTGACACTTGCCTTTGTTCTTTTTAAATGTTACATATAAATACAAAGACAGAGTTAGTTATTTGACATATATGAATAAAATTAAGCCATTTCCTATTTGTAGAACATTTTAATCTACCCGTACTACTTGTCTTTGACTCTACGTGTCAACTTATATTGGCCATGGATATTTGAAAATGAGTTTAAATTAATTACAATAATTAAGATTAATAAAGAACTTTAATAAAAGCTTACCGCAACCTTTCTTTCATTTTACATTTAATCCGAATATTACATCCAATAGAAATGGGCGTGCGAAAACAGAAAACCTTTGACCCCCGTTATTTAATCAACTTTCTAGGTCTTACTTTTTGGGATGCGGACAAATCTTTTTATATACATAAGCACAATTTAAATCAACTCAAGCTTTAAGACGTGAAAAAATTAAGCCATTTTGCTGGGATATAACTTCATTGAGTTGAAGCCTTGTGAATTTTAGCTGTTTTGGCAGTGTTTATAAGTCTACATAGTCTATATAAGTCATTAGTCTATAAGTCTCGACTACTTTACTATTAAGCCGTGTTGTTGTCTCGAAAACTCAGAGAATATGTATTACCACACATAAATTCTAGTTTTTATGACCCTTACACGGCCGCCAGCCCCTTTTTGCTATTTTTTGGTAGAACTGACAATTTGGACATAAAATTATATATATATATATACGTACCTTCTGATGTTTAATTAGAACTTGAACTTGAACTAGAAACTAATCTATCTCAAAATTTAGTAAAATTGGGAAGAATGTGAAGAATCGAAGTAAACTTAAGAATCAGATTACTTCGAACTTGACCTATTTGTGGGAAAGTCAAAATTAGATTATGCTGTCAATTTCTATATGGAAACAATACATTTAATTGCCTTTATGATTTATGCAACAAGTACAAACAAATAATATATTATACACATTAACATTTGCTTCCAAGCATTCCATTTAAAGAGTTACTTTGCGATGTGTGTTCTGAGATAAGGAAAACAACAAGAAAATTAAAATGTATGAAGCAAATGTTTTTTCAACATGTGCGCTCTCGGAAGCGCAGAGACCGAAACAACAAATAATGAATGGGGACAATATGCAAATGCGATTGTGTAGCATACTTCTCTGCGCGCAAAAGCTGAATGTGGCAATAAGCTTCGGGGAAACGGTAGCACCTGAATCTGATAATTATATAAACTGCCCGAAACAGAGTTTTCAATGGCACAAAAAAGAATGTCTAAAGTCGGGAAAATTGCTGGCTTAAATATAAGTACCATATATAGGAAGAACACACAATATGATTGCATGATTATTAAGGAGGGCTAAAAACCGGAGTTGGAGCGAACCAGTTTAACTTTAACTTTAAGTCAAACCAGTTTTCAAAAAAACAGCTAAGCCGTAAAACTAACCAAACCATATTTTTTTCAATATTGGATAAGTTTAAAGCAAACACTTTTTATAAAAGACCCAGACTGAAAGCACAAATAGTATGAGAGTTTCCATATTTATGTAAAACGTATCTTTTATCAGAGTTATAATCTTTATGCATAAAATAGTGTCTCCTGACTGGCGAAATGTATGGAGCTGAAATTTTTACTGAAGCTCCATTTGGGCTGGAAGTAAGCGCTAAGACGGGATTTGCGAATTGCAAGTGGGTCAACACGGTAGCCAAAGTTTTTATGAAAAGGGTCGAAAAAACACATAGCCCTATAATTGTACATAGGCTAAATTTCGAATATATTGTTCCTTATGCAAAATCCTATCAACATCGGAAAATATCGAAATTCAGTTTTCCAACATTTTTCACTACTATTCTCACACATCTACGAAGCCATAGGACAAATGTCTTCGAGGGTATTAAATCTTCTGTGTGTCGATGATAGCTTTTCTCGTGCTTTCTCGCCTTACTGGCTTACCCTCCACACCGCAGCAGATGTCTGTACATGTATCTCTTTGAGAGCAACATTTTAAATGTTGTATTCCTTAGCTGCTGCTTTCTTTTGAAAGTGTTTCTCCCACAGAGTACAGCATAAGCGCCAAACAGCTGACGGTTTCGGAAACACGCAGCTGAAACTGAAGCTTGGAATTTTGTGGAGCTGGCCCAGTGGCAAGTTGCATTGTGCCCGAAATGTGCTTCAATGAGCATCAATATCAATTTACTCTTGCACAGAGCCGGGCGAGTATTGTCATTAAGAAATTTGTTTATTTTTCATTTGTACAGCGCCTCAGCTTTGAAAGCGAAATAAATACAAACAACAGCGCCAGCAGACAGATGCCAACATCGAGTTTCATCTTCTTATTGGCACACAAATAGCAAATCGTGACATCTGACATATTTCTCTCTGCAAATTTTGTGTCGAGCGGCAGCTCGCCAACTTTTAGTATGGGTATGTGTTTGCTTGTCATTTCACATTTTTATTGGGAACGAGTAGCGAACTTGGCGCCAGATTGTTTCAATCCCTCAATATGTCGTCCTTTATCCCTGCCTGCTGGAACCCCTACGAGCTGCTTGCTGTGCATTTGCTTAGTCAGCTCCAAAAAGAAAATATTCATGTATTATAGAATATATAGCAATTCGAGGTAAATAAGTGGACATGTTCTGATCAGTTGCCAATCAGGACATAAGATCTTTAAAGAAGCGCAATTCAGATATACGTTAAGCCGAAACCAGCTGCAACAGCGATTCCCTAGGGAGATTTATATACATATATCTCAATTACCCCTTACAGATGTAGGCCAGAAAAAGTTGGAACTGCTCGACTAGAAGATACCCTCAAATCAGTGCCGTGCTACCCTCAAAAAATGTTGAGCTTTTTAAATATACACCGAAACACAAATACAGATTCTCAACAGCAAGGGATGTGCTTCTTCTACCATCAGCTAAGCTTCGGTGTTTATACCATATATATAGCATCCGAATGTATTGAGAATTTGAAATATTTTGCATTTGTCTATACCTGCCTACATCCCACATACTAAAATTGATACTTCTATTTCGCTTTCGATTTCATCGTGGCGATTTATCGATAACAAGCTCAATATTTCTTGTACTAAAAAGACCTGACATAAGATTTTTTGAAGTATTTGGCTCTTATAGTCTCTGAGTTCGGCAGACAGAGGGATATAGATAGATCGGCGAGGCATTTAATGACGATCAAGACTTAATTTTTTCTTTAATTGAGTCGAAGATGCCACCTTTTAAATGTCCACAAAGCATTATACTTTTTTTACCCAATCTCAATAAGTACAGTGGGTAAATGGATTGGTAATAAATCTATGTCCAAATAGTGAAGGTCAGGACTCGCTTAACATGCTATTCGCCTTTATCGATATCCATATTTGGAAGTTGGCTCAATTATTTGTGACTTAAAGCCAAAACTGTGTAAGAAATTGAATGAAATATGAAAAAACACACATTTAATATTCATTTTTCTATCAGTATTCCACTGATGCAGGCAAATAGTTCATGCTCATTTTAAGAATGAGCTACATTAACGTGCAACTTGAGTCCAATCTGAACGGCATATGAAAACCAACATTTAAAATCTCCTTTAAACATAACAATAAGAGCAAACAAACAACAAATTGGATGTGTAAGTACACTCAGTACACATATCGATTTTGCAGACTGAGTCAAACTGAACTAAACCCAATCAAGGCAACCTGTTAAAGCCCACCTCCAATGATTTCGAAGTCATAACAAACCAGCATCAGCTGACAGAAGAAAACAAATAATAAACAAATAATGTATAAAAATCATGAATTGAGCAAACAGCAAAAAACAATCATATAAATGTATTCTACATATGTGCATAAAAAGTTATGAACATGTGTAAGGCGAGCCGGCTTATGGATCGGCAGGATAAAACGGAGCTAACAGACAACAAAGTGTTATTGTAGCCCGCGCAGCGCAAAATATCTATACATGCGCCTCCTTCATATTTATCTAGATATATGCTTGTACTCCTGGGCTAAAGTGGGGCACAGCTAAACCAGGTGAAAGGCGCGGCAAAAGGTGGGCATACCACAGACCAGAAGCCGTACGTCTGCCCAGTGAAGTAGATGATTATGATGGGTTGGAAATTCTAAAGGCGAAAACCGCAGCTCGAGAACAGAACTTTATAGCAAGTATGGGCCTACTACTAGATGTTAGAAATATAGTATTAGAAAATGTCTTCAATATATGTTAGATTATATTTCAAATATCCTAGGGCTACTCTATGTCACAGCCAAAAATAGACTACATTTTTCTGTCTTATTCGAAGTAAATAATATATAAGAATTTAAGTATAATTTAAGTTGTATTTTTAAGAATGGCTTACCAAATAATAAACTGGAATATTGTAGTAATATAATATAATAATAATATTAATAATAATAATAATGTACTAAATGCATAGTTTGAGTCCGGAATTGCGGTTGTTTAATAACCATGACGAATTTATAAGAAAATTTTCGATAAATGGTTCGTTTCGAAAAAAAAACTGGGAATATTGTGGCAACATTTTTTTTGGAATTTTCCACCTTGCGCCTAAGTTAGTTTCCGAACCATGAATATGAAAAGTTAACAGAGTTTGATAAATATTGAAAATTTCTATCTAAGACACACCTATTTATTTAAATTTAAATACCCTTGTAGAAATATGGCCTACTGATTTGCTCAATTTGTTGAATTTGGTTAAGATATCTTGAAGAACAGAAAATGTTTCTATACATTTCGACCGATTCTAAAATATGGCTTAAGGGTTCGATCTGGCTGGTTTCGACTGTCTGCATAAGAAAGTCGGACCTAAAACTGAGAGAATAATTTGTTTTAGGAACAGACGGACAGACAGACGGACAGACAGACGGACAAATAGAGGAACAGACAGACATGCATAGCTGTAGCGAGTCGACTTTTAATACAAATATATATTTTTATATAGTATATACTCTATAGGTGCAAATATGTCTCCTTCTATGCGTTACACATTTCATGACAAACTAATAGTTCCTTCTAGCAGGGTATAAAAATATGCAGATATAGCAAAAATAATTTTTAATAAATTAAATTGGTCACTTTTATTGACTTTTATTCAAAGTAAATTCAATTCAGCAAATAGAATCATTTTATTAGGACGTTAGTTCAGGTTCACATCTAAATTGATATTCAATTTAATTACATTTATTTAAGCCGTAATATAGCCAAAAGTTAAGTTTCACATTTATTGCTTGCGGAACTGCTTTATACATAAAGTATCTGTATCTCGGCTGCAGGGGAAAACCATTGCAACTTTTCTCTAAGGTCTTTTTGGCAATTGGCCTCAAACTGCAGCCGAGTGCTTCGTGCAACCTGCCACAAACACAGACTTTTCACTCCTGCAGCTATCTGCCCCATGTGCATTCCCGCGCCCACAGACACAATTCCTCTGGCTGTGTGTTTCCCAGTTCTGGTTGCGCCCTTTGAATAATATTCTCTGTGTGTCGTTTGTTTTGTATTGTTTGCATTTTGGTACTTTTTTTTGCCAGGCGCTAAAGTAAAACGCGCAAAAGTTTTAAGTTGCGTTTGGCATTCTGGCATTGTTTGTCTGTACGTTTTTAACATTTGTCTGGCGCAAATAAATTATTTCGAACTGTGTGCAGAATTTTCCTTTTAATTCATGCGAATGCCGCCAGTAAGACAGTAAATTAGCGCAAAGTTATTTGACTTGATTGCGATTGAAGTGCTCTGATGAGACAACAATCCATGTCAATGGCCTTTTCGTGCGTGTGTTGAATCTCAGTCACTCGTCGAGATTGTAAGTGGCAAATGCCACACAGCTCGGAATACCCTAACAGAGATGATTGCGACTTGGGATGAATCAAGATTCTGGACAAGTGCATCCCTTTTTATACCCTGAACCCATTGAAAATGTGTAAAAAGGGTATTATGTATTTGTGCAAATGTATGTAACAGGCAGAAGGAAGCATCTCCGACCGAATAAAGTATATACATATATTCTTGATCAGCATCAACAGTCGAGTCGTCCGTCTGTCCGTCCGTCCGTCTGTCCGTATGTATGAACGCAAGGATCTCAGAACCTATAAGAGCTAGAGAAATTTTAGCTGTAAGTCCTCCTAGTGCCCGCGCAGATTGAGTTTGCCTCCGATATTCGATAACTTGCCCCGTTTCCAAGAAATCGATAAAAATGTATATCGAAATTCTGTTTTTTGAGCAATTTCGGCAAATAATATGAGCTAGAGTTACCAAACTTGACATGTAGCATCTAGAATAGTGTATATATATATATATCAAGTATCTTTTATTTTGTACCTATCGCCTGTTGGAAGAAGAGGGTTCAGGGTATCCCCTAGTCGGGAGCTCCCGACTAGAACCTCTTACTTGTTAATTTTACTTTTATATCGAAGTAACAACAGTCATTATATATATAAAAACTTATCAATAAATTATTTATAATCTGTTTTGTTCATTAATTTTTTACAATCATCTTGTATTCAATTGCTTCCAATTTATTTAGGCATTTAATTATTTGAACTAAAATTAATTGTACCATTTACTAAGGTTAATATTTTGTTCAATGTTTTACTGCACGTTTTTAATTAGTATTTTATAACATTTACTTTAATCAAGGGCATCTTAGCTTCGCGTCTATTTAAAAAAAAAAACAAAAATTCACTTGAAGTCCTGAGTAGAGCAAATTTGTCGCAGAAAGTTTCTCACATCAAGGAAAATTCAGTTCCAACAGCCACAACCATGTACTTACAATGGACTTATTTGTTGTCCTCATTAGCCGCGTTTGTCTGATATTAAGTTAGGTTTTTTCTGACACAGCCCAGAGCCCATTCCAGGCCATCTGCCGACCTCCAGACAGACAGTCAGTGTCTGCCACGGGCAGTGCTTGTCGCTGGATTTATTTGTGGACATCCCATTATGGTTTTATTATCATCAATATCACATGTTGGCTCTATATATCTGAATTGTTTGCCATGTGGAACAATTAATTTGGGTTGCTTTTATTTTCTTGCTTTTAAGTGTTTCTCACTTTATCTGTCTCTGTCTCTGTCTCTAGTCCCGTCTCTGGCAAACAACAGTTGACGCTGTTGTCTTTCATAGTTTTAATTTTATGACAGCGACAGCTCCAGACAGGCATACACATAAGCATATATATACACTTATATATATATACTTGTATCTGCGGCTGACATAGAGCTCATTATGTAGAATGTGACAGTTTGGCAGACAACGGAGGGATTCTGTGTCAGTCAGTTGAATGTTGCTGGCCATTTTGTGTTTGCTTGGCAACAAAATACCGCGGTTAATTAAACTGGCTGCAAAACTTTTTACCTTTTCAGTTTTTATCAAAAGCTTATGTTTCGTAACATTGTTTATGCATATGTTTATTATTAGAATATTATTCTCAATAAATTTTAAAACTAAGCTGAAAGGTGCGGTGATAAGCAAACTCTAGACCATAAACCACAGACTTTAATTGTTTCGAATCTAGTTTTATTGTACAAAGGCATACTTTTAGCCCGTTGCAGCAATTGCAGAAGATAGGAAAAAACAACTTCAACTTGGTCTGCGAAAGACACTTCATGCAATCAATCCCTTGTAAAAAACATTTTGGTTTATAAGCATATAACAAATCTATCAATTTAAGTAGCAAGATTACTGGTTAATAATATATATGTCTTTCTGAGCGACTGACATTCCTTTTTTCGACTGAATGTATTGATATAAAATGTAAATTAATTTTGACATTATTTCAGCAAATAAAAGCTGAAAAATCCACACACATTTAACTACACTACATTATCCATCACTCAATTTTGTATAAATTTTTACTCAATTGAAGATAAAATTGTTTTATTAAAAAGAAATGTACAATACATATTTAAGCACAAGTAATTCATAGATTTTACCGTGAGTATCTGTAATATAATAATAAATAATTATTAAATCAAATACAAATGATTTGTTTGACCTAATATCGTGAAATACGAGGTATATTCAATTGAAACATAATTTGATTAAATATTTGCAGTCACTTTTTCCATCACTCTATTTCTTAATCAATAATTTTGCAATTACCTTTTTTACCCTTTTCGTTTATAACCTGCTCTTAATTCAATTGTTACGCTTCCTTTTACATTTCATTCCCCTTTAAAGCTAATTTTTGTAGACCGCTAAAAAATTATCTTTACACCAGCAATTTAAGCTTTGATTGCTTCACAGATTATCGAGCAATTCGTTAAGCACAAAGCATGCTCGTTAGTTCCACGAGACAAGCTGTCGAATATCCTTGCTTTTTTGTTGTCAATTTCTGGTTATCCTTGAAGGAGGCACGCCCCGTGGCAACTATGCCATGCTTGGTGACAACTTAAAGCCTAAGCCGCCCACAAACGACACCAAATGACAGCAATTGCAGGAGAAACACGCGCATTTTAAAATCATCAACATTATCATCAGCATTATGTCAGTTATGCGGCGGCAGTTCGCTGTTGTCCTCAGGATGTCGGCTCAGGATGTCGGTCGATGGTTGTCCTAGTCTTAGCTGTCGCCTGTCGGCCGTCGGCTGTTGCTGTCATTCATTAGAGGACGGCGCAAAATGTACCAGAAATATGCCAAGAGGCCAAAAAGAGAGAGAGAGAGAGAGAGAGCAAATGGCAAAAGGAAAAGAACACGAAATCAAATTACACGGCAAAAATGGCGACGACAACGCCAGAGATGAAGTTGGATGGCAACACGGCGGCGACACGGCTCAAACCTTTTCCCGCTAAAAGGCACAAAAGCTTTGCATGTTGCTCTTCGGCTCGGCAACGCTCAA